CACATTCTAGCAGGGACGAGCCCCTGTACGCGGCGCTCGATTCGAGTGTGTGATCTTCATCAGAGGTGTGCTGGTCGAGACGAGAGGGTGGATCGTTGGCGAAATTGGCGCGATTCTCTGCGGATACGTCGCAAGGGCTTCATGCACAGTCAGTACAAGTGCCCCAAACAGAGATGCCGCATTTTCGCCGGGGTGCGATGTAGATCCGATGGTTCGTTGCATCTGTGACGATGTCGATCGTACCAAAGATAAAGCTCGCGGCGTTCCCCTTTTGTATATGCGGACATGTCGGTCGCAAGATCGAAATCGAGTTGTTCGAGTTTGTCGCGCGCATCGGCCTACATGCAATGTCGACGTGCACAGCTCGAAGCACTGCTCGAGCCATTCGACCACACGAACTCACATTATTGCTCGAGAGCGGATGGTGCATTCCTTTTGCACAACCGTGAAAAAGTCCTTGCCAAAGGTATACCACCACACTCTTATGCGCATCATTCCTTTCCTGGTCAGGTTGTCAAGTCCTGTTCAGTGAATATCGCATGGCACATGCACCTTCCCTCGCCAAAACCACGTTGTCTAAGCTGGGTGGTGCGGCAAGGCTGATCGCGCGGCAACTTGCATGGACACTTGTCTCGGTTTGTTGGGGACAGGTGAGCTCAAGAGCGCTGCCCCTCGTCGGTGCGGCATGGGCAAGTCCTGAAAACCAGCCCCCTCTGTGTGGTTTGAATAGCTTGAGCAGCTCTGTGGTTTGCGTCAACGTCGAATACGTGGGAACGATGTAGTTGTTCCCAAGGTTCGGCGCGAGTGGCCGAGGCAGACTTGAAATCCTCGCTCACGTGATCGACTCTAGTGTTATGATTCATGAACGGAATGATCTCTACAGTTTGGGCCGGAGCACGACTTGGTCGGGAAAGATCTCGTCTAACGTGACGTAGAACCACGAGTTTTCACCCCGACACCACGTGCATTGCCATCGGTGGACGGCGTGGGTGTTGTTGGTGTACCGGCCCGTGGGGTACGCGGTCAGCCACGCGCAGGCCTGTTGAACGATGGGCAGTTGTAGCCGCAGATCTGTTGCGTTGACGCATCGTCGGTGGAGATTCTCGATGTTCCAGTACGCCACTTCAGGGTAAAAGTACTCTTCGTCGAGTAGTGTGATGCGGCGCACGTGGTCCTTGCTGTTGTAAGCCATCACTGTCCGATGGACCATTCGTGGGCCGGTGAGGGACACTGGGTCAGTGCTGTCGCCGCCCGCGTTGAACGCGTCCAAAATGTTGTCGAGAACGTCGAGCCAGAACGGATGGCCAGGAGCAGATGCGAGGATGGCGTTGCACAGGACGGGGGTCGTTGCGCCTTCCAACAGCACAGAGTGCGTGAGTGGTTCGTAGCTGAGAAACAGGTCTAGATCGACGAGGTCGTCAAACGATTTGAGCGATTCAAAATCTCCATCGGCGTACACGCCACCGTACAAATGCAGCAGAGCATATCGAGACATGTCGGCCAAGTGGATCTTGCCGACCTGACGCGCCACCGCCGCGTACTTGGCGTAGCGGGTTTCAAACAAGTTCAAGTTGTCCGTGTCGTCCCAGAACATGTAATTCCACGTCGGATTCCGAACGCGCCAGCTTTGCATCCACGGCACAAACTTGCGTGGAATGTGGTTGGCAGACTTCCACGACTGATGGATGAGCGTGGGGATGGATCGAGGCGGCGATGTTGGTCCTGTCGAGTTGGCACCAAGGGTCACCATGTCGTCCACCGACACACGTATCCCGATCGATTCGGACGACGGCAAGCGGCTACCAAACTGAAGGCCCAGCACATGGAGCCAGACGAGGCAGCAACCGACGATCCCTACCACCGCCAGCGCATAGAATCGCCGAGGCCCTACACACAGCGATGCCAAGCAGCCCTGATGCCCCTCCATCGGCGCTTTGTTTGCCCGTGAACTCATCACGGATTCACGTCAACGGCGGGCGGAATCGAACCCCGTCGACTTGTACGACATCGGTGGTCATCCGGATAGCGTTGATTGGCACAGATTTATCCGGACACGTATGCATTCCTGCGATGAGCGGCGCCGCCGTCATGCGTGCGCAGCAGTACAGGTTGGCATCGATAGGACAGCTGCATTGATGGCTCTGTGCAAGTGGACATGTAATGTCTTCGCACGTTGCACAGCCGTGCTGCGATGTTGGGCACACGTGACCATGATATCGCGGTCGCCAGTGTCAACTTTGCTAAACGTGGGAGGTTTCTTTGCGCTAGGGCGTCAAATGCGCACGGGCGTACGTGGCACATGCATCTGATGTGGTCTGCGAGTGTCTTGGTTGGGAAAGATATCGTGCAACGACACGTACGACGTTGTGTCGTCGCCACGGCACCACGTGCATTGCCAGTGGTGGACGGCGTGGGTCTTGTTGGTGTATCGACCCGTGGGGTACTCGTTCAACCACGCGCAAGCTTCTTGAACGATGGGGGGGTGGCTCTTGACGTGAGTGCACTTGCGGCTAAGATTGTCTAGGTTCCAGTACGCCACTTCGGGGTAAAAGTACTCTTCGTCGAGCAGGATAATGCCGGGGGTGGTGGTGGCCGCAGACGCTGCTTTCGCGTGCTGGGACATCGTGTGCTGCACCATCCGAGGACCTGTTAGTGATACTGGGTCTTGCCTGGCCCCTCCAGGCGAGTTGAAAGCGTCGAGAATGTTGTCTAGCACCTCCAACCAAAATGGATGGCCAGCCATGGACGCCAAGATAGCGTTGCAAAGCACGGGGGCCGACGCCCCCTCGAGCAGCACGGAGTGGACGAGCGGTTCGAAGCTCAGAAACAATGGCAAGTCCGTCAAGTCGTCCATGGGCTGGAGTGCCTCGAAATCCCCATCCACGTATAACCCGCCATACCGATGCAGTAGCGCATACCGAGACATGTCGGCCAATTGAATCTTGCTCACTCGGCGAGCCACTGGCGCGTACTTCGAGTAGTGCTCTTCAAACAGGTCCAGGTTGTCCGAATCGTCCCAGAATACATACGTCCATGTCGGGTGGTGAGTTCGCCAGCTCTGCATCCACTGCACAAACTTGCTTGGGATATGATCAGCAGATTTCCACGATTGGTGAATGATCTTGGGAATGCGTTGTGCGGGTGTGGACGGAGAATCGCGAGGTGGCTGGGGGGTGTTTGTTGTGTCGGGGGCTACAACAGAGTGGAGGCCATCGTTGTCGCCATCAAGGAGGAATGGTTTCGGGCCTTCCTTGTCATTCGTGCGAGAAGCCTTGACGCCATCAACCAGGGACAGGTTCGGGTTTGAGGTAGGGCTGCTTTTGGTCGCGAGGCCGAAGCCACGAACGTCGTGCATTGCCTGGTCATCGGGGATCGCTCGGATGAGTGATGGAGGTGTGGGCGACGTGTTGAGGTGGGGTGGGGTTCTCTGGAGTACAAACGGTGTGGTGTCGGTGGATGCAAGCGAAGTGCGAGGGGTAGACGAGTCGACAAACCTGCTCACGACTGCGAGCCACACCATCGAGTAAAGCCCAATCCCGACAACCATCCACGCGCACTGACGTGGTCCCATAACACTCGGGCTCGACCCAGTGGTGGTCTTGCACGAGCTTCGTCGGGGCAATTCCATGTGCGGTGTACCAGACGTCGTTACCCCTGTCAACGTCAGCTATATTTAACTGCGTTTACGTTCGCAGTGACAAACCAAGACCCCCTCGTGGAGCCCACCCCCCATTCTCCCCTCCATGTCGGCAGCAACTTGGGTCCGACACCCTTGCGCACCCAAGCAATACATTGGCATCCCTCGCCGACACTGATTCTTCTGGCATTGCACGAAGGGAGTACAAGAAGCAGAGCACTCGTCGGCACTCTCCGTACACAATAAGTAAGGATAGTAACTTGCATTTATATAATAGTTTAGGTTTCGTCCTCACAGGAGTCCCTGTGGCCTAATGGATAAGGCGTCGCCCTCCGAAGGCGGAGACTGCGGGTTCGAGTCCCGCCAGGGACTTTCCTTTTTCTGTCGATGTTTTTCCACCAGTTGATTACCCGCCACCACTGAAGAGGATGCGGCACGGCGGCCTCTTGTTGCGTGCCGTGGCGACGCCGTCACGGCGGTACTATGCTCAGCGCGCGGCGTCGACAGCGGCGACCTCTGGTAGTGGAATGACTGTGTCTCGCCATGCCGTGGCAACCGAGGCAAAGGAAGTGTTCAAGCTTATGTTTGGGGTAGTGTCGCCGAGCATGGGCGATGGCTGTGTGGTGTGACCGCTTCTGTAGACGTTTACGATGCTACTTGGTGGTGGCATGGGTGTTGGGTACGCAGTGGAGAACTACAAGCGCATGCACCCACCGATGCCGCCTGGGCAACTCGTGGAAATCACTGTTCAAGGGCATCAGTCGTTGGTGCATGCCCAAGTCCGTGGCGGCGGTCGCGTACCAGTGAAAGGCACGGTGCTGCTCGATGGGAGTCTTGGCGAAACATCCTTTGACTGGGACAAAGTCATGGCTGCAGTACGTTTGCATATCGAGCGTGCATGGACGTGACATGATCCTAGCTGCCCGACGACACCCAAGTCATTGCGATCGACCGGCCCGGACTCGCATTTTCTGCCCCCAGTCCGTTCGCTCGAACGTCCGACATGGTAAGGGGCGTCCATGGTCTCTCCATCCAGCCAGGTCACTGTCGGCGGCAGATTTCAAAGGAATATCAACAAGTGCTAACGCAGCTCCAAGTGACTGGCCCTGTTGTCCTCGTCGGCCACGGCACGGGCGGCTACCACATGCGGTAAGGTCTATTCGCCGCGATTCAAACCAGAACAACGCTAAGAGAATGTAGCCAACTGGCTGCCGACCTAGCGTCGTCGTCCGATGTGTCAGTCGCAGGGCTTGTCCTTGTCGACGCCATGCACGGTGAGGACGATCTCTCCAAGTGTGACGACTTACACGGCGTCCAGAATCGGTGAATCCAGCGCTGAAAGCGATCTCGCCACATGTGCAGGAAGCGCTGGCGGCACGTCGACAGAACGCTTTCACCCTGCTCAAGTACGCGCAATCATCACCCTTGCACGTCGTTCAGTCTGCGAAGTTGGCTGACGTGGGCGACTCGGTAGGATGTCACATGTGGGCTTGGTTCGACTCGTGCACACGCTGCAGTCAAAGCGGAACGCAGCTCGATTTTCCACCACGTCGATGCCCTTCATCGACTACTTCACGCCTAGCCCACCCCACCGCCGCGGTACGTCTGGATGCGCAAGTGTCGTTGTTCAAGGACGGATGGCTGTCTAGGTGTTGTGCATGAGAATGACGCCGTGGATGCGATTGAGGAAGCTCTGACGACGTCGCCGCTGCCTATACTGCAAGTGCCGATCGTCGTTCTTTCCCATGGCAACCGCACCATGTTTGAGTCGATGAAGATGGAGCCTGGCATCACAGACGAGATCGTGGACGACATGGAAGCGCAATGGGCCAACGGACAAACCGCCCTCACCAAGCTGGGTGCCACGTGCATCCACCACATCCTCAAGGACGCGGGCCACGATATTCCCCATGAAAAGCCCGACGCAGTGGCCAAAGCCATCGTGGCCGTCCTCGACGATGCCCATGGCGATGCCACAAACGGCCTCCAGTCGCTCAAGGTCATGGAATGATGGCGGCGTTGACGATAGAGTGTAGCTTATGGCTAAAACGCCGCAGTTGCCTTGGAAGTCGATATTCCACATCGGTGACATCAGCATGTATGACCCAATGCTGCAAGTCCTTGCAGCGATCATGGCTTTGCCTCGTGCGAAAGGCTGATGTAGATCTGGAGCTGCTCGAGTCCACCCCCCCTTACCGCCGCAACCCGGCAACCTATGTGCAGCCATCACATGCAGAAAAGTTTGTTTCGAGCGGGAAGTGGTGGAAATGCGTGCTGTTTGGGCTGCATGATCTTGTTGGGCTTCTTCGGCACACACAAGTCATTCTCGGTGACCGATTTAGGCCATGCCAGAGAACCCACTACAGTAGCAGAGGACGACAGGACATGCTTCACCCGAGTTCCCGTCTCCCCACCTCACTTCTCGCAACGTCAGCGAACGTACCGACGGGACGGCCATCAATTTTCACGTAGGTCACGCAGGCAAAGCTCACGAACTCACCCCCACAAGTCGAAGGTGGAAGAACAAAGTGCGCAAACAAGTCGCTTGCCTGGCGTGTTCGAAGCGAGTGTTATGCAGATGCATCAAAGTAGCACCACGTGCGCACTTCACAGCATCGAGCTCGCATCGAAATTGGCCGCCCACAAGTCGTTTGCCAAACTCACAAATCCGACTTGAGACGAAAGATAACTGGCACGAGCTGTGACCGAGGCGCTGCAGCACCTGTTCAAGACAAGCGTGTGTGGCGGATCCGTCCAGTTGTGGACTGGAATGGGGAAGCACGGCTTGCTCTTCATCAAGACAAGCATCACTCCTCAACGTTCTGCAACACTCGGGCCGACGATCGACTCCGAGTTCGTCGGCACGACCCTGCGTGCCAGTTTCCACTCGTCACGATAGACCCTGGCATACTAGAAAGATGCGAAGTTGGTTTGGCGTGCCAGGGTCGCGAATTGGACAATCGTTGAAAACGTTGACGATGCGTTAGCGCAGTCGGCAAATGGAGCACCAAGTCGCCACGACATTGGAACGGCAAGAGGTCGTCATTCGTGTCAGTTTTGCGTGCGTTCGACACACTTGTCCATGCCACTTCCGAGGTTCTCCTCCCGTCGTCAAGTCTGTACTTACCTCGAAAGATGGACAGTTCTCACGTGTGTCTCCGTGGACAAGCCCAACTAGTTGAACACATGATGCTCTTCACGCCACCATTGCACAGCTTCCAAGATCGCTGGTCTTCTCGGCATACTTGGTGAAGCGAGCGACCGGCCAACGTCCGAGGCACACAACACAATGGGCCAACTCTGTCACGTTTCACAAACACTAACCGTAGGGCTATCGGTGTGGTCGAAATATTTCCCCAATGTATTTCGTACGATTCAAGGACTATTGTTGTGTTCAAACCCTGAGTAACCACTTTGGTCATATAATATGAATAATTGGTGGGGACTCAGTTTCTTGCATGCATGCGGTGAGATGTAAAGAACACACAGTCGTGGTGCGGCGGCATCCTGGGATGCGTTGCGATGTAGTCGACGGGCTGAAAGGCCACTTTTCACGGCGCCCCCACTCGCCACCATCATGTCGTCCACTCCCAAGAAGCTCTACACAGATGCACTGGAGCAGCAGCCTCCTATGGCCGTCCCAATCGCCGACCTCAGTCAGTGGAAGATATCGGTGATGAGCGCCAAGACCAACTAGTCGACAGACCTGTGTCCTTGCATCGCGCTCAACACGACCATGGCACGCATCACCAAGTACAACCACGTGTACGCTGTTGCGTTTGGTGTGTTGTACGCTGCTTTTTTTGCGCTCGTGCTTGTCTTTATCATCCTCAGCACCTGGACCTACACGTCGTTGATTGCTCTGTGGGGGGTGCTCATCCTGATGAGCTTTGTCGTGACTGCTGCTCGCTGCCACGTGCGGTCATTCTTTGGCATCTCTGGCAACCTGTGCAACGACTGCTGCTGGTCGTGCTGGTGCGTCAACTACACGATTGGGCAGATGCAAATGCAGGTCGAAGATGTCGAGGCGGCCCCACACTCCTCGACAATGCCAGCGTACCAAGCCTAGCTCTAAGTTGAACACGATTTCGAGTTGTCGTTGTTGGCAGCTAGTTGTATCCCAGCATGGGCTCGCGGATACAATTGCGGGACCAGGGGCACGAGCTGACGTCGTACAATCATATGAGAGGCTAGAGGGAGGGGGAGGGGGGCTTGGCGTGAAGGAGTCGATGAAGGGCTTCGGAAAATTGAGCTGCGTTCCGCTTCGGCTGCAGCGTGTGGACGAGTCGAACCACACCCACATGTGAGGCCAGACGAGGTCGCGGTACGGGAAAGGTGCAAGGGTGATGGATGCGCGTACTTGTGGAGGGGGT